CCTCTCTCATCTTTTTAAGTGGGAGAACTTGCACAATTGGTGGCTGACTAAATACTTTTTTGCCCCACTGTATTTCCTTTTATTTCCTCTTTTTCTAAGCTATGCCTTTAATTTATATATTTTATTAGTTCTTATTCCTTTTCTGCCCTTTGCGTGTTGCTTATCCTGAAAGGGAACAGCATAATAGGTAGGTAAGGTATGTTTATATAAATTATAACCCATCTTTTAGCTCCAAGATGGATTGCCAACAAGGCAGCTTACACTAAATTTTACAAATATATATATTCAGCAAAATGAAAAGTTTGATGATGAAGGAAAAAATGATATCTGTTTTCTAATGCATTTTGTAAGGAGCTCTGTCTTTAAAGTAGATTCCTACCCTCACATTTAGAGGAATGCACATAGTAAGCCATTTTGTAAAGCTAAGTAGGTCTGTTTCTGAGAGCCTGAATTGAAGACTGTCTGGGAACTTCACTAAATCCATCTAATCCATTGGGGGGGGGGAATGAGATAAATATAGTTTTTTAGTAATCATTAACCGTCTCCTTTCTTCCTGTTTTTCCACTGAACTGCTTTTATTAGTGATTGTTCAAGGAATTGCTAGAAAGACGACATTTTTTAGGACAACATCCTAAACTGGAAGAAAGGTTACAAATGTCTTACTCTAGAATGTGGATGTCACAATTTACCTTGAGGACAAAGGGTCTGTCAGGCTTACACAGATAATTTGGGAAAATCCTAGATTAACTCATAAAGCAATAATTCTGAAAATACCTGGAAAATGATGCAGTAAGCATGGATTTGTCAATAGCCTTTCCAGATTATTCTTAACTATTTTTTAAATTAGGTCGCTCCCTTTAGTAAAATTATGAGAATTCTGTAGATGTATCTTGATTTCAGCAAAGCATTTAACCAAGTGCCCATGATATTCAGATTAGCAAACTAGTTTAGTGTGGGCTGGATGACATGACAATTAAGTGGATATTTAATTAGCTCAAAAACTGTACTTAACAAATACTCATCCATGGTTCCTCATCAAACTGGTGCATTTCTAGGTCCCATAATCTTCAACATTTTTATTAATGGATAAACAGATGACAGGAATGTTTTTTATAATATTTGCAGGTGGCAAAAACTGATGGAACAGCTAGAAGAGATAAATAAAACTCAAAACAATCTTGATGGATTAAGAGAAATGGGCTGAAAGTAATTGAACAGGAAAGAGAAATCAAATCCACAAACAGAGCATGGGGGACAGATAAGTTGAGATTAGTACTTGGGGAAATAATATTGGAATAATACTTGATATGGTTGCAAAAAGAGAAAATTGTGAGCTGTATTACCAAAAATAGTTGCTAAATGATGGGCTGCAACCTTTTATTTTATTTTTATTTATTTTTCAAATTTACATATGGTGCCCATCTCACTATACAATTTATTTATGCCACATTGGCCAGTTCCAACCTAAATACTGCATCTGGTTCTGGTACCACACTTCATAAGAAGGATTCAGACGAAGAGGAATAGGTTCAGAGGAGGGTGGTGAAGGTCATCCTGGGACTAAAAACTAGTCCTACGACGAGGCTGAAGAAACTGGGAAAGTTTAACTGCAGGAAGAGCAAAAAGACAGAGGGGAAGATGTAACTGCGCTCTTCAAGTCCCTCAAAAGGCAAGCTCTATCATTCCAGAGGGCAGGAAGTAGAATAATGGATTTAGGAAGGAAAATTCTGGTTGGATGCTGAAAAAGCTTCTTAACAATGCAATCAGCTCAACAGTGGGACCTATTACCCAGAGAAGCAGTGGGTCCCCTTCCTTGGATGTTTGCAAGCAGAAGCTGGACTGTGATGCATCGGGGGTGCTTTAATTTAGATGCCTGTACTGAGGGCATATATGGCCCATTTCAAGGTATGATTCTATCATTTAACCAGGTGCTAGGGTTAGTTCAGGCTCTTGGGAGTCCAAGAATAGCCTCCATTGGCACAGAAGACGATTGTTTTGTTTTTAATGTGAGACTACCTACAGGCAACAGAACTTAAGAACTTGCCTTACTGTGCTTGGATTCTTACACTGCACAACACTATAACTTGGTTTAATGTAACATATGAATGTTTTATGAATCCATGGCTCATGGCTCAATATTATGCATGTATTGGGCCATTGCAGCTGGTTCAATAATCCAGTTAAGAGGGCGGAGCTGGCGTCGCGGCGATACGGCGGGCGATCCTGGGT